CTTAAAATTTTCCTGTTAGCTGAATGCCCTGTTTGTTTTGTTTTTCGGGGAGAGAGCTCGGGTTATTTTTAATTACACACATAAATTTTACTGTTTTACACGTTCCTTCTCTTTTTGCCTTTTTTTTTAAACAAAAAACTAGACTTTTTTTTTCTTTTTTTCTTAACCAACGGGCGAAGCTCTGTTTATACACCCATGAACTGTTGAAATATAGACCCAAGTTCGAATCAAGATACGATCAGATGACCAAATTATGATATCTCAACGCCGTCGCCCTTTAAAAAAATGGAGAAACAAAAAAAAAAGGACAAAAAAAAAAGAAAGTATTTTTGAACCTTTTCCCTCCCCTTTCACGTCATGCCGTAGATGAACGCCCCTTGACACGATTCTTCTATCTGGGAATGCACGGTTTGTCCCGACCCCCGTCCCGACCCCTACTCTACTCCAGACCCCGACATGCGATAGAGTCGGGGTCGGTAGTCAGAGCAACCAGCAATAGAACAAAGGTTCCCTGCCTCTATTGAAACTCCATACGGCTATAAATAAATATGTTTTCCTTCCTTTCCCCAAAGGAAAGGGAATTAAAAACAAAGAACAAAATATGCAGCAGCAGAATGCCGATCGCCGGGTAATGACAAGTCTACACGTCTTTCTTTTCTTTCCTTTGTTTCTTTCCTTTTTCTTCTTTCCTTTGTTTCTTTTCCTTCTGGAGGTGGAGATGGAGATGGAGGTGGAGATGGAGATGGAGATGGAGATGGAGATGAAGTAGAGTTCATACTAGAGGCAGAGAGTGACGTAGACATGGAGATGGGCAGGAGGACGGAGATGGAGATGGAGATAAAGTGGTGGTCGTGATGGGGGGTAGACATGAAGAAGGAAACGTGGATGGAGGGCCATAATGGAGGCCGACACTGATGTAGAGATGGAGATGGAGATGGAGAGGGAGAGGGAGAGGGAGAGGGAGATAAAGTGGAGGTCGAGATGGAGGCAGAGACTGAGGTAGACATGATGGAGAAGGAAAGGTGGATGGAGATAGACATGGAGATGGAGATGAGATAAAGTGGAGGTCGTGATGGAGATGGAAATGGAGGTAAAGTGATGGAGATGGAGATGGAGATGGAGATGGAGACGAAGACTGAGGTAGACATGGAGAGAGGTGGCGATGAAGATGAAGATGCAGATGGCATGGTTTAGATGGAGAAGGAGAAGCAGGTATACATGAACCTATAGAGAGACGGTTGTATACATGAAAATAGAGATCGATGAGATAATTGTGGACATCTAGAGAGAGAGAGAGAGAGAGAGAGAGAGAGAGAGAGAGAGAGAGAGAGAGAGAGAGTTCAGGAACAGGACAATAATAACCCCATCGTGACACCTGGACTACCGTGTGTGAATATAACCGGATATGTGGTCCGATTCAGGACCCTCCTCGTGTTGATACGGATGGAAAGAACACAGGCAAGGGGAAAGGGGCTTTGGGGGCCACTTGCAAGAATATTGGCGTGGGTAGTCGCCACAGTCGGAGATGGAGGAGAAGGAGACAGAGATGGAGAACGAGGGAGAGTGGAGACGGAGATACAAAGCCGTAGAGATGGAGGTAGAAACCGTCGTAGAGATGAAGATGCAGATGGGCCCAGACGGTTGTAGATAAAAGGCAGCGATGGAGATCTCGATGTAAGTATAGATGATGGAAGCAGAGAAGGAAGAAGGAGTCGCGATGGCGATGGAGTCGGAGACGAAGGTAGAGATGGAGGTAGAGAAGGAGGTAGCGATGGCGTCGGAGACGGAGATAGTTAAGGGGGTATAGATGGATAAGGGGGTATAGATAGATAAGGGGGTCGAGATGGATAAGGGGGTATAGAT